CCAGCGTATCTGTGATTTCCCATTCTCCAATCCCATTTATCAGTATAACAACACAGATTCGTTTTGTTTGGGGAGTTTTTTTGTTAGTTTTGTTTTCATTCTTGTTTGAGATGCTTTCAAGACTTCCAAGTAGAGATACTGAGTGGATGGTTGAATATTTCAGGCTGGATTTCATGGGAGAACGCTCAGCTAGATTTGGGATGGTTAGTGTTTAGATAGTATTTAAAATTGTGAGACTAGACAAAACGTTGACATACCTGTGAGGTTAAGACAGTGAAAGTGTACAGCTGTTACTGCGAAACTAATGCAAATTCTGTGCTTATTAGGAAAAAATTCGTTCATATATGTATATCAGTTTGCAGGAGCTATAGTAATTTGTCCCAGTAAAAAAACCACTAAAGTAGCAGTTTTCATTGGCGTCACCTCTGATGACTTAGGATAGTCTAATACCATTCTCTAAGAGCCCACACCAAGACTGCCACACACCGAGCCCACATAGATTGGAGAATTCAATAGATACATGAGAGAAATTACCTCCTTTGCATCTCACAGACTTCTGATACTGGCACCAGTATCTGTAATACCCACAGCAATGCTTTTCTTTCTCAGCTTTTCCAGCATGCATGTGAGATTCTGCAACTCCTGCTTGGCTCCTCCTATGGCAGTAGTCTTTTTCCTCAAAGACTCAGGAGACAGGAAGGGAATTCTGAGAAATATTGAGACAGCTATTCTAACTACATATTCAGAAACTGAGAAATTAACCACGGGATGAGTTTGGGATCCCACAACCTTCACATGTGACATAAATTTGGGCAAAATTGCCAATAATGACATGATTCTGGTGAACTGAAATGGTATTCTGAGTCTTCAGAAAGTGTCCAGTAATCCCCCAAATGAGGGATATGTCAATTTCCTAGGGTCACAATTGCCCTAATAACAGCCATTAATCTCTTTGCTGAAAGCCAGTATACAGATTCACAGTATTTCCCTGTCATGTTCTCGCAGAGGCTTCAAAGGGATCTGCCCCTACGTGAGGGATTCCACGTGGACGAGACCCTGTAACTCGAGGGCAGTGATTAAAGTCAAGCTTCTGTTCAAGAAATCTAGAGAGGTGTGTTTTGGTCCTTTGATTAACGCAAATCAAGGCCCTTAGCTGGTTTTCCCTTCCGTTAACCGCTGACTAACTACCCGCTGACCAAGATCGCTGCCATCAGACCTTTCTGCATACTGTGGGGTCCCGTTGTCTAGTGCGATAACCACTTCCATTTTGCCTCTGGAAGTTAAGTGCTCCTGCTGGTCCTCTGCCAGTCCTAGATCCTCCCATCCCCCTATTTCCTACTGAAATCAGGAGGTTCATTTTAATTGCAGTGTCTCCCTCCTAAACATCCTCAACTTACTAAATTGTTTCTGAAAACTGTTAGGCTTCCCCTCACCAACGGATGTTAAAGGTCTTAGTGAAGAGATCTTATTGTGGGTCTTCTTGAAGAACATAGCTGGAGAGTGAGAGGATAAATCTCACAGCATAAAGACATTCCAGCATATATTTCTCCCAAAGAAATATATTTCTGCATGATACCAGTAACTCCTGGTATCTTAACCATGTAGGATAGGCTAAAGTTAGACTCAGGGAAGCAAAGTACTGGACTTACTCCCAGCTGCTCAAGTTGGCCCATTGAAAATGGAATTGCTAAGGGCCATTGTATAAACTCAGCCTAATGTAAAATTATGGCCCCACCTTGGTTGACTGCCCTCAGAATTAATATATTTTTCTTATTTTACCATTATTAGCAAAGTTCTATATCATGTGTGAGCCTCGTCCTCCTGATTTTGATTTTGCAGTGGACCCCTAGAGGCTATCTGGGAATATAGGGAATACGAAAATTGCCTTAATGCTATGAGCTCATGGGAAACGTCCACTGCTCCTGAGAGGGGCCACATGGGAGTCCTGATGAGGGTGTAAATCTAGGAGCATCAGTGAGTGCAGTTTTCTCATACTCCAACTTCACGACTGCAAAAGATAAGAGATTCTCTGAGCATGATAGTCACAAAACCCTGCTTTTCAGCTCACAACTTGAGCAAAGAATTTAGGAGTCTGATATTGTCATTCTTTCTTTAAATGATCCTGTGATATCAGAAGCAGCCATTCTACCTTGAAACTTTTGACTCTCTCAGGATCCCTATATTGTGCTTTAACAGTAGCAATTCACTGCTTCCAAAACCCTGCCCTTGCTGGACACTTGATTCTGGGTAGCCACATGCAATAATTTTTATCAGATTTATCGAGGTATAGTTAACAATGACAAAGTACACATAACCAAAGTGTACAATTTGATGTCTTTGATACATGAATACACCCATGAAACCATCACTACAGTCCAGATAATGAATATATCCATCATCCCCAAAAGTTTCCACCAGCCGGTTTGCCATCTTTACCCAAAGTCCCCACCCCTAGGCAACCACTGACCTGCTTTCATTTACTATAGATTAGTCTACTTTTCCTAGACTTTTACACAAATGGAACCCTGTAACCTGCATCCTCTTTTATCTGTTTTTCTCTTATTCAGCATAATTTTTAAACTCATTCATGTTGTATGTATCAATAGTTCATTCATTTTTACTGCTGAGTACTATTCCATTTTACGGCTATAACACAACTTGTTTATCCACTCCCTTTACAGCCATTGGGATTATTTCCACTTGTCTGGCTATTACAAACAAAGCTGCCAGGAACATCCATGTAAAGTCTTTGCATGAACAGATGCTTTCATTTTTCCTGGGTAAATACCTAGTAATGGACTGGCTGGATCACATGGGACAGGTGTGTTTAAATTTGTAAGGAACTACCTGCCTGTTTTCCAATGTAGTTGCTCCATTTTACAGTTCCTCACAGCACAATATGAGAGGCCCAAGTCCTCACACTCACACCAACACGCAAAGAGTTCAATAATTGACAACCCAAGATGAATAACTGAAGATCAATATAGCTCCAATCCCATAGCCACAAAGATTTGAAAATACAAGTAACCCCCAGTAATCTAGTTCAGTAATTAATGTTTAAAAAGAAAAAGGCAGGGCAAAGACTAAGCGGTTTATGGAGAAAGGAAAGGAGGTGGTGAAAATCTCTTTTGGTTTTATTTTACCCTGATCACCTTTGGTCTATGTCAGTTTTCCAGAGGCTTTACTCTGAACACCCAACTGGGCAAAGATTTCCCTCTAAGAGGCTAGTTACTACACTACACTTTAACATACCTGGGAATAGAGGCTCTATGTTCACTGTCTACTCTCTCCGACACTGGCATTTAATAAGTCCCAGTCTTCTTGTAAATTTTAAAAATTGGCATTGGCAACCATGTCACCAGATCTCAATGAAAATAGCTTTCTTCTCTAGGTTTATATGCAAAACCTCTTGATTTCAATCTCTTCTCTGAGACTTTGCTCCAAGCATCTCAGTCCTGAAATTAGCATAGGCTTTGTCTAGTGGTTTCTTGTGAGCAGGAATTTTTCAATCCTGTGCTGCACAAGCCATTGTCGCTGCCTCTTAATATGGAATTGCTTGGGACAAATAACCCTGCCTCTTCAAAAAAGTCCACCCCTGTTCCCACATTTCTTTTCTAACCACAAAATCCCTCTCAGTGGGTCCTTGAACTTAAGCAGAAGTTGATATACCCGAAGTCTGTACCGCCAGGGGCCTTGTGAACTGTGTTTCTCTTTTCTTGGACTCTTCAAGCAAAAAACAAAAAAAAGAACATTCTAAACCTTTAGTAACACTTCTTTGTCTTGCAAAAATCTAGAAGTTTTTTTTTTCATCTGTTCCCCATTAACTCTTAAAAGGCTCAGCTGAGTTTCTAACCATTTAACGTGTTTCTACAGTTCACTCTTTCTCCCTCTCACATGCACGGGGTGAGCTTGGTTTAATGAACCCAAGTGCCTTTTTCATTTCTTCTCTACCTTTGCTTTTCATCCTGGACATTGGTGCATGTGTGTTTCCAATAAATATATATGAAAACTGACATTTTAATAGTGAAACTTATGCAGTTCTATGACTTTTTTCAATGTGTAGATTTGTGTAACCACCGCCATCCCCAGGATACAGAACAGTTCCATCACCCAGAAAGCAGAGCCTGTTGTCACGTGCCCCTTTCTAATCACATCTACCCACAACCATTACCCCTGGCAAGGACTGATCTGTTCTCGGTTGCTATAGTTTTCCCTTTTCCTGGCCGTTTATTCCAGATTTAAATAAAATCATACAGTATGTAACATTTGAGACTGGCTTCTTTCACTCAGCATAATGCCTTTGAGATTTATGTATGTTGTTGCATTTATCAATAGTTCATTACTTTTTATTACTGAGTAATACTCTAGTGTATGGATATGTCACAGTTTGTTTTTCCACAAGCCTGGGGAAGCTTTTAGGAAGTGTATATCTCCATTTGTTTAGATCTTTGATTCATTTGACAGCATTATTGCAGTTTCCAGCAGACCTAAGTATTCAATTTTTTGGAGCTGTTAAAATAGCATTATTATTTTTTTGTGCCAACCGTTGCTAGAATATAGAAATATGATGAGGTTTTGTATCTTTACCTTATATTCTACGGCCTGGCTAAACCCACTTATTAATTGTGAGAGTTTTTTTAAATAGATTTCTCAGGATTTTCTATACAGATAATCATGATACCTGCTAATAGGGACAATGCGTTTCTTCCCTTCCAATTCGTATGCATTTCTCTTGTTTAATTATGCTGGCTTTGACTTCCAGTGTGATGTCGAATAGTACTAGAGAGAGGGGACATTATCACATTTTCCAGAACTTAGAGAACAAGCATCAGTCTTTCAGCACCAAAGACAGTGTTGGCTGTCAGGTTTTGTGCAGATATTCTTCAGCAGGCTAAGGAAGTGTCTACCTATGCCCAAGTTGCTTGGAATTTTTAACATAAATGTATGTTAGATGTTTTCAAATGCTTTTCCTGCATCTATTTATATGATTATGTGGTTTTTCTTCTTTCATTGTTAATATGGTGGATTAGAGTGAATGATTTTTGAATATTAAACCAATCTTGCTTTCATAGGATAAAAGCCCCTTGGTTGTAGTAAGCTGTTACTTTTATATACAGCTGGAGTTGATGAAAGATTTTTGTTTCTATGTTTATGAGCACATGAATCTCTACTTTTAGTTGGGAACTATGCATTGTTCTTCTACTTTCTGAAAGAGATTGTGTAGAAAATTCATACATTGAAGTCTTAACCCCTAAAGTGAAGATATTGGGAGATGGGGCCTTTAGAAAATAGTTAGATTTAAATGAGGTCCTAAGAGTGGGGCCCTCATAATGGGATTAGTGCCTTTACAACACGAGAAAGAGACACCAAGGTTCAAGCTCTCTCCACCATGTTAATTCACAGCAAGAAGGGAGCAGTCTGCAAACCAGAAAGAAGTCTCACCAGAACCCAAGAGTGCTGGCTCCCTGATCTTGGACTTCCAGCCTCCAGACCTGTGAGAAGCAAATTTCTTATGTTTAAGCCCCTCAGTCTGTGTTACTTTGTCATAGCAGCTCAAGCAGACAAATACAGAGTTTAGCTCTTCCACAGTGGAAATTCTCTCTTGGCCCAAAATACCATTCAAATACCTAGAAGAGAATGGAATTTGGTATAGGTGAGACAGTACTCTCTACTTGTGCTAGAATGAAACTCATTAATTCACAGCCCAATCACCAAAGTCCTGTCTGAGAAAAATAATAATCACCAGATATTTTCAACCTACCAACTTCTAAAATTATCTAATCCTTGCCTCAACTTGTCTGCAGTAGGTCAAAGTCAAACTACATTGACATGTACATCATGGCTGGCATGGACCAGCTTTTCAGAGCCCCGGAGGTCTACATTCCTTAAGGTCTGCTCTGACAGTATAGCATTTGTCCCTTTCCTCTGGACACAGCCTGCGATGAGCTGTCTAGGTCCATTCCCCCAACATTAGCCCTGCTTGCTGGAGATGAAAGTGCAAAGCCTTCAGCTCTAGTCAAGCTAGAATGCTCACTCCACTTTCCATGTTATTTTGGTCCCCAGTTTGACATCTGTTTATCTGACAAATTTCTCAGTCCCATGAATTAAGATACTGAGTTTTTTGGAAGCCCATAAATAATATCATTTTGTTTTGTTTTTTCCCCTTGCAGATTCTGGAACCAATTGAGAGCAAAACCCAATAATTAGGCAGCTGGAGATCAATATATTTTTCTTTGTTACTGAAAAGCCATTGGGATAAAATGATTTTAGATCTGAGGCCAAATGGTATTGTTCACACTTTACCTCTGAACCAGAGTGACTTACCCACCCAATCACAGATGCAGATGGACAAATGCAACTCGCTTCCTCTCCCTCACTCCTCGGTTCACCCAGATAGAAGGAGGCCAAGTGGCTGAGTCTCTGGAAGCATTTAGATGCCGCAGAAATAGAGGAGGAAAGGACTGTGCCAGTCATGCCCAAATTGTTCTTCCAAATTCATCGATCAGATGAATCATGCTTCCTCCTGTGCTGAGGAGGCGAGAAGTGGGAGAGTTAGAAAGTGAGGGAGTGCAGAGGGGCCAAGAGTGTTGTCACAGGAACAGGAGAGACAAGGAATATGCATTTTTCTCTGACAGCCATGTGTCATGCCCTGGCCTCCAGAGAGGAGGGACAAAAAGTTTGTGACCCACCATCTTTAGCCTCCATAAAGACAGACAGGACACCACCTTCACCTAAGACTCATAATCAGAAGGCGTTTGGAAGTTATAGTTCAAAAACTAAACAAAACAGTGCAAAACTTCAAAAACAAAAAGTCAATTGTCGGCTCCAAGAAAAAACATAAAGGTTTCAAATCCTCCTTGAAGCATGTTGTCTTGATTCCACATGTGGTCTTTTCACAAAATATCTGTATATCTGTGCACCCATATATCCCAACTTGCTTCTGCTTGGAACAGCTACTGGACCCGGTTGTTGATACACAGCCCGGTGTGACACAAAGTTAGCAACGAGAATCCTGGAGTTTGTTACACAAGAATAGAGAATTCTTAGGATAAAGTCTCCGAAAGTGTAATGTTAATCACATAGGGTTCTAATATTAATATAGTTAGCAATGGATGGGGAAAAAATTTTCATCTTTTTCTCTCTTCCATTCACTGCTAGAGAGATGGCATTATCTTAAGCCTAGATGGCTTTGAATGGCCAAACATCTGCATAATAGTTTCTTTTTGTCCTTTTATTGCTCCAACTAATTGTCCTGCTATCTGCAGCATTTCCAAGATAAGACTGTGTGCCAGTGATTTAAAAGCTTCATTTAACTTCTTTAAGTCACTTGACCAAGTTCACGTACAGTTTTATGTGTTTCGGGATACAGCCAAGTTTCCTGAATATGATCACAAAAGAAAATTCTACAGTGGTTTTGCTATTAGGTTGATGTGATGAGAAGAGAATGAAATTTATCTTACTTTTGGTGATAAGAAAACTCCGTGGAAGTTTCTCCCCCTTGAACTGGAGGTTGTTGGACTCCCAATAATTAATGTCAAGATTTAGGAGGCCAATGATCTTTATCTTAAGGGTCCAGGAATACTTGGGAGTGTTGGGGTCCAGGGCAGCTTACCCCAAAATACGCCACACAGGTATATTGATTATTTTGAATTAAAGTTACTTGAAAAACAGCTAATGCAAAAGGGGCGTTTTGACCCTTCTCTCTGTTCCCCCTGAAAGCACGAAACAAATCTCAAAAGTGAAAAGTACTCTGCCTGCATCCTTATCACCAGAGTTAGGAAATTCAGGGCAGAAAGCCTACCTAAACAAACATTGTTACTTCTTTACTAATTTATTACCCCAAACCCAAACTCAGCTTAAATGCCTTACTAATTAAGTACCCAAACGTAAGTTTCTTTGTCCTCTCAAATCCTCACAAATTTATTGTTTCTTTGTGTAGAAAGATATATTAACTGCCTGCTTTATTTACTCTCTGAGCATCATTTTAATGATCTGCTTTGCACACGTATTATATTGGTTTTCCCCTGTCAATCTGTTTTGTGTCAATTTTAATATTAGTCAAGCCATAAGAACTCAAGAGAGATAAAGGGGGATTTCCCGATCCCTGACAGGAGCTCTTGATGAGATTGATTAGCACAATCTTATTGCCTAGCCCCTCACTCTGGACCAAAGGCCTTCGTCTGCTGCTATCTCGTTTCCCTGCAGTGCCTTCCACAACTGGCACAAAAGAGCAGGTCAGGAAACCAAGGTTGCAAGGCCAAGTTAGGATTAAATAGTACTGCTATCAGGAATGGTAGACCAACTTCCTGCTGAGGTAAGTTATAAAAGATGTACAACAACATTTTTTTGAATGTACCGGAGAACTACAACATAGCAAAGATTTTCCCGGCCCGGTGGAGGCAGACTCTGTATTTGTGGTCCTTTTCCCTTGCGGGCCTTTGTCAGTTCCTGAAGGAAGGCTGAGAAGCTCCACTGCGCTTTGAGGGAGTCCAGGGCTCAGAGGCAGGGACGGAACACAGAGCTGCCCCTCCTCCCCTGGCCCAGGGGGCTGATGTGCTCACTCGGGATTGAAATTCTGAAATGAATTCATCTCAGTCCAGGAGATGAAATAGAATTGGAAATGGAATTTGGTGATCACTGACTCTAAGGTGATACATAAGAACAATGTCATATCAATCGGGAGCATGGTAAACGGAATTGATGTATCTTCCCATAGTCCAGGGAGTGCATAAAAGTATCTAATTTTTAGGGTAACTATTAAAAGAATAATAAAAGAGATATCACTTCCAAGTTTGTTGGGTTTAGTGCTAGAGGTGAAACGATAAAATATATTCAATAAATTTAAAATATTATATAAAGGCAAGAAAAGAGAGTAAAAGGAACTTGGAGAAGCTGAGAAAATTAGAAAGCACTTAATTGGACGATGACTTAAGCCAAAATATACCATTAATTTCTTTAAGCATTAATGCAATGTTTCTGTTTAATGTTTCATTAGAAAGAGCCCCAAGAAAATAGACGGAACTCTCACCATAGGACACTACGAGGACAGTTGATTTCTGAAGCAGAAGTTTACCAGCGTGTGGTTACAGAGGCCAGGGCAGCAGCCTGAAGCACGGCAGCCACGCTGGTCCCTCCTGAGGTCTGAAGGGACGAGGGGAGGAAGAGATGGCCAGAGATGAAAGAGATCCGTTCTGGGGAGGTGTGGTCTTCAACCAAGGGATACAATCTGTCCAAGTCAACTCTCTCTCCTTCCTTTACCTCCTGCTGGGTTCCCCAAGGCTGAACCCAACTAGAATCCAGATGTCATGGGAGCCCAACTGATGCAGCTTTGGGGCAGTAACCAGGATAGAAAGAATGGTGAGGAGGAGATCTGGAAAAGAAAAATTACCTGGCAAACACATCAATTAAAAGACAAATATTTTCAGACTGGATAACAGACACTAAAATTATAAAGAAACAGGAAGGTTGAAAGTAAGTGAAATGATTTTTTGTATTGCATTCGTATTTATTTTCAAATTTTCCCAGCTTTATTGAGGTATAATTGACACATAAAATTGTACTTATTTAAGATGTACAACACAATGACTTGACATATGCATACACTGTGAAATGATTATCATAATCAAGTAATTAACATATCCATCACCTCACGTAGTTACCTTCTTTGTGTGTGTGGATGAAAACACTTGAGATCTACCCTCTTAGTAAATCTCAAGTATACAATACAGTCTTATTAACTATGTCACCATGCTGTACATTAGATCCCCAGAACTTACTCAACTTATAACTGAAAGTTTATACCAACCAACATCTTCAACCAACATCTCCCCGTTTCCCCCACCCACCTCCAGCCTCTGGCAGCTACCATTCTACTCTGCTTGTATGAGTTCAGCTTTTTTAGATTCCACATATAAGTGAAATCATATAGTATTTTTCTTTTAGTGTTTGACTTATTTCAGTTGGCATAATGTCTTCCAGGTTCATTCATGCTGTTGCAAATGGAAGAATTTCCTTCTTTTTATGGCTGAATAATATTCCATTATATATGTACCACATTTTCATTATCCATTCATCCGTCAACAGACACTTAGATTTTTTTCCATATCTTGGCTAATGGTGAAAAAATGCTGCAATCAACGTGGGAGAGCAACATCTCTTTGAGATACTGATTTCATTTCCTTCGTATATACCCAGAAGTGAGCTTGCTGGACCATGTGGCAGTTCTACTTTTAATTTTTGAAGAAGCTCCATACTGTTATCCATAGTGGCTGCACCAATTTTCATTCTCATTAAAGTGTATAAGGTTCCCTTTTCTGCACACTCTAAGACATTTGTTATCTCTTGTCTTTTTGATAATGGCCATCCTAATAAGTATGAGGTGACATCTCATTGTTTGCATTGCCCTGATAATTAGTGATGCTGAGCACTTTTTCATGTAACTGTTGGCCATTTGTATGCCTTCTTTGGAAAATGTCTATTCAGGTTTTAGCTCATTTTTTAATGGGGTTTTTTGTTTTTTTGTCATTGAGTTGTATGAGTTCCTTATATATTTTGGATATTAACCCCTTATTGTGGTTAACATAACAAAACATACGGTTTGCAAATATTTTTTCCCTTTTGTAGGTTGCCTTTTCATTTTGTTGATATTTTCCTTTGTTGCACAAAAGCTTCTTAGATTGATGTAGCGCTGCTTGTTTACTTTTGCTTTTGTTGCCTGTGCTTTTGGTACCATATCCAAAAGTCATTGCCGAGACAGATGTCAAGGAGGATTTGACTGTAAATTGAAGAGATATACTATGCAAATACTAACCCGTAGAAGGATTGTGTAGCTATATACATATCAGAATGGTAGACTTTAAGGTAAAAAAAGCATTATTTGAGATAAAGAGTGTATGTCATAATGAGAAATGTTCAACTCATTTGAAAGATAAATCACTTTTAATGAATATTTTAAATCTTCCGCAAATTACCTCAAAATATATAAAGCAAAAATTGATAAATGTAAATAGAAAATAGACAAAATTCACATGGTAGAAGATTTAAAGCACTGTCTTGGTGAAACAGACAAAAAATAACGGTAAAGGTACAGAAGACTTGAACAATGTGATCTTGATATGTGTAATCTGCATCCAATAACTCACCCAGTGATTGCAGATTTCATATTATAGAACATTTACAGAAAATAAACCAATTCTGGAAAGTCTTAAGAAATGTCAAATGATTAAAATCATACAAAGCATATTGTCTAAGCACAATGCTAAAGTCAGTAGCAGAATAATAACTAGAAAGTCCCCATGTGTATGGAAATCAAGATATGCGCTTCTAAATAACCACCACCAAAAATAAATCAAAATGAAAAGTACAAAGTATTTTAGACTGAATAATAATAAAAATAGAAATTATAACATGTCAAACTTTTTTGATGTAGCTAAAAACAACTTTAGTTGGAAATAAATAGCTTTAAATACGCAAGTTAGAAAAAAAAAAAAGAGTGAAAATAGCTGAACAAAGCATCCATTCCAAGGAATTAGAAAAATAGAAGTAAATTAATTCCACAAAAAAAGAAAGAAGGAAATAATAAAATTGGAATCAGAAAGTAATTACATAGAATATAAACATACAATTGAAAATATCAATAAAGTCAAATATTAGTAACTGAAAAACACTAATAAAATTTATAAACCCATTTTCGAAACTGATCAGAAGAAAAAAGAAAGAAAAACTAGGCAAAGTCAGGAATAAAAAAAGAGGTCATCACTACAATTCCTGAAAACACAAAATAAGAAGCTAATGTGAATAATTTCACACCCATATAATTGACATTTAAAATAAACGAATATGTTTCTAGTAAAGTAAAACTTACCAAAACTGAACACATGAATAAATTTAAAATCTAAATAGTCTGATAATTATTTAAAAAACGAAATATTTAATTTAATCCTTCTCTGTCCCAAGTGATTTCACTGGTGAATTCTGCCAATTGTTGAATAGAGATTAGTGCCACTCTATGATCATATAGAGTTCTAGAGAACAGAAACAGAGGTGCCACTTTCCAATCAGCTTTAGGTCAACATAACTGTGAGTCTCAAGCTTTATAAGGACCTTGCAAGAAAGGAAAAAAAACAGGCCAATCTTATTCATAAACATAGTTTTAAAAAAATTTAAAAAAAATATTATCAATAAAAATTTAGCAACGTATAGAAAGGATAATACATCATAACCAAATTGTGCATATTCTAAGAGTCTAAGGTTGTTTTAACATTCAAAAATAAATCAATAGATGGTTTTTCTTCTGGCTAAGATAGAGTAAAAGTGACAAGAATATTACCCTCCCACCGGAAACGATTCAAAACTGGACAGCACATTTGACAACGGCCTTGAGAGAGGAAACGAATGAGGTCACACTCTATGATTGTCTCAGCTTGAACTTAGAGAGGGAACATTGGTGGAGGCCAACAGACTAACTGTGTTTAGGTGATGGAGCTGGGAAACTGAAGAGGCCAAGATGGCTGGAGCTCACAGGCCACTGAAGATGAGAGAGCTGCACAGAGAGAGCTCTGGCGATGCAGAGGGCTGCCCTTGAGACTTCAGCTGAATATCAATCAGCACAACTGTGTGGGAAAAATACCAAGGCTGGGAAAAGAACAACCAAAAAGGAGAAGATGGAATAACATTTGGAAATCAAATAGAGTGTGAAGAGTCCATGTTCCCAACAGAGTGAAAAACCTCATAATTCAAGGGCATCAAGCAAAATACTCAAAAGGGCAGTAGTCCAGTAGTGAGACAAAATTAGCCTAGATGGAAGACTGCTCTAGTCACACCTAACAAAGCTTGAAAGCAAGCTGTGAAAAGATCAAAGGTGACAAGGCAATTCAATGCTAAATAATCTTTTCAACCAATTGTGCCTGAACATTAATATACCCATATTCAAAAATTGTACCTCTACTCTCTCCATATAAAAAATTAAAAATAGATTATACACCTAAATGTAAAAGCTAAAACTATAAAATTTCTAGAAGAAAATATATGATAAAATTTTAGTGACCTTGGGTTTCACAAATATTTCTTAATATGACCTAAAGGTAATAAACTACATTTCATCAAAATTAAAAGCTTTTGTTCTTTAAGACTCTGTCAAGAAAAGAAAGGTCAGGTAACAGACTGGAAGAAAATGTTTACAAAACATTTATCAACATAGAACTTGTATGTAGAATATATTGTATATATTCTAACTTGTATGTATATATATTGTATATAGAATATATTTTTTAATGTACAAGTCAACAATAGTTAGCCAAAATCCAACTTAAATAAATGAGTAAAAGATTTGAACAGACACTTCACCAAAGAATATATAAGTATGGAAAATAAGCACATGAACAGATTCCCAGTATCATTAGGAAAATGACAATGAAAACTGCAATAAGTTACCCTTATGGTCCCACTAGGATGGTTGAAATTTTTTAAGTTGATGCTATAAATCTACAGATCCAAGCAACTCAACAAACCTCAAGCTCCAGAAACAGGAATAAAACTACACCAAGGTAAATCATAATTAAATGCTTAAAAACACTAATAAAGAGAAAGCTTTTTCAGGTATCCAGAGGAAAATGACAAAGTACTTAAAGAGCAACAAAGCTAAAAATGACAGCATACTTCTGATTGAAAATATTGCAAATGAGAAAATAATAGAGCAATATTTTTCAAGCCTGAAAGCAGAAAAACCATCAAAGTGAATTCTATACCCAGCAAAATATCTTCAAAAATAAGAGAAATAACACAGATGGAAATTTGGATCTTCAGGAAGGAAGAAGAACGTCATGAATGGTAAATAAACGGGTAAATATGAAGCATTGTGAATGTTTTTTTCTTCTTGTAATTTCCTTCAGGAGACAAATGACTATTTAAAGCAAAAGTTACAACATTGAAAGGTAGGGTTTATAAAATACATACAAGTAATAGATATATCAACAGTAGCATGAAGTATGAGTGGGTAGACAAATGGAATTATATTTTTGTGAATTAAAAAATGTAAAGTGTTGGGGGCCAGCCTGGTGGCACAGTGGTTAAGTTCCCATGCTCCACTTTTGCAGCCTGGGGTTTGCTGGTTCAGATCCCAGGTACAGACCTATACATTGCTTGTCAAGCCATGCTGTGGCAGGCAACCCACATATAAAGTAGAAGAAGATGGGCACAGATGTTAGCTCAGGGCCAACCTTTCTCAGCAAAGAAAGAGGATGATTGATGGCAGATGTTAGCCTAGGACTAATCTTACTGAACAAAAAAAGATATAAAGTGTTAGATATGAAATGAGAAGGTGGAAACATGAAGGGTTAGATATGAAGAATAAAGTATGACATAATGGAGAAATAGATTAGAAGACATTAGAGAAAATAAAATGGAGTCCTAAAAGATAGTAATAACTAATCCCAGGAAATGTGCCACCATGGGAAACAAACAGAAAGGTGGAGGACTTAAAGCCAAATATATTGATAATTAGACAATATGTAAAAG